TTTTTTTGGTTTTTCAAGACAGGGTTTCTCTGTAGCTTTGGAGCCTGTCCTGGAACTAGCTCTTGTAGACCAGGCTGGCCTCGAACTCCCAGAGATCCGCCTGCCTCTGCTTCCCGAGTGCTGGGATTAAAGGCATGCGCCACCATCGCCCGGCAATAGAGCGTTTTCTTAGCATCACTGATGCCATGGACTCTATACACAGCTCCACACAAAAAAAGAAGGGTTTCAGGTGGGCGGTGATGGTACACACCTTTAATCCCAGCACTCAGGTGGCAGAGGCAGGTATCTCTGAGTTCAAGGCCAGCTTGGTCTACAGAGTCAGTCAGGACATCCAGGGCTACACAGAGAAATCCTGCCTCAGAGAAAACGAGAGGAGGATGTGGAAGGGGAAGGAAGAAAGATGGGTAGTGGTGGCGCACACCTTTAACCCCAGCTTTCTGGAGGCGCAGGCAGGTGGATCCCTGAGAGTTTGAGGTCAGCCTGGTCTATAACACTAATTCCAGGATAGCCAGGGCTACACAGGGAAAAAACCCTGTCTCCTAAAACAAACAAAAACAAAATGAGAAAGAAAAGAAAAAAGGAGGAGAAGGAGGAGGAGGGTTTCACACCTTCCCAGCCTCCTTGAGAAGGAAGATTATCTTCCTTTCTCTTGTAACACCCGCGGTCACAATGAAGACACATTGGACACAAGGGTGTGGCCATTTGAAGGCTGTTTCCACCAAGCAAAAAGGACCCCCAAAATGGCAAATTGCCTGTGTCTGGAAGTCTGCTGGCGGGGGCTGACAACAAAGGGATGGGTGCTATACTGCAGTAAGGGCTTTCTATTCCGGATGAACAAGTCCCTCTTGCTGTCCCATCCAGTCTGCCAACCCCCAACTCCAACAGGACAGAGAAGACACCTGCCTACCTGCCTGGCTTAGAAATTTAGCTGCCGAGAGGAGCTCCGTGCCCTGAGTCACGTTGACTCAGAGGCTCAGGCTGCAATGGATGCCTCTTGTCCTTGCCCGTCCCCATGTTTGGGGCGAGGAGTGGGTGCTGGGCATCCAGGCCTCCCTCCAGGCTCGGGCACAGCCCAGGCTCCAGTCTGCATGCTTCGTCAGCACCAGTGTTCCTATTACACGACCAAGTGGGATTTGTACTCTCCAACCATTAGCGTTGGGCTGACGCTGCAGAACTGGCTGATGCCAGCTCTTTCACCCTTTCCAGGAGATTCGATGACCACTTCACTTCCTTATCAGACAGCTCAGCCTGGCCTCCTTTCAGGGACATCCCCTGCTATGATGCTATGATTTGAATCAGAAACATCCCCCCACAGGCTCATGTTTTGAACACTTGTTTTCCCCCATGTGGCATTGCTATTTTGGGGGGCTGTGGTACTTTTAGATGGGAGCTAGCTGAGGAAGTCAGGTCTTTATTAGTATGCAGACCTTTGAAAGTTATAGAAAATTATAGACTCTTCCCCCTTCTCTTCTTCCCTTCCCTTCATTCCTTCCTCCCTCCTCTTTTCCCTCCTCATCTCCATCCCTTCCTTTGTTCTTCGTCTTTATTGTTGTTTTAAAAAAATTGTTTTGCAGTCTGGCAGTGGTGGCACACACCTTTAACCCCAGCACTCAGGAGGCAGAAGCAGGAGGATCTCTGTGAGTTTGAGGCCAGCCTGGTCTACAAGAGCTAGTTCCAGGACAGGCTCCAAAGCTACAGAGAAACACTGTCTTGAAAAACAAAACAACAAACAAACAAACAAAAATTGTTTTGCTCATGTAGCCTAGGCTATCCTCCAACTCATTGTCCTCCCTCAACTGACCAAATACTAGGGTTACAAGTGTGTGCTACCACATCCAACTCTCCATTGTATTATTAGTGATATCTCTAGTAGCCCAGGCTGGCCTTGAACTGACTATGTAGTGGAGGATGATGCTGAATTTCTCCTCTTTGTTTTTCCGTCTCTCTAGTGTTGGGATTGTGGGTGTGCCTCTCCACATCCAGTTTATACGAATCCTGGGGTTCTTGCATGGTAGGGAAACACTCTACCCATGAGCTCTAACCCTGGCTGCATGCCTAACTTATCAGTTGTTGTGTTTATATAGGAATGAAGACTGCTTGGATTGGACTGAAATTGGCCAGCCTTCAGCAGTTAGGAGTCCTCTAAACACACCAAGCACTGGTCTCTCTGCTTGTGATCAGCAAGCTGTGCCCTGTTCCCAACACTGTAATTGTCCCGTGAGTTTTTGGCCCTCTGCTGGAGTTCCAACTATCAAACCAAATACTTACTTCAGACTCTTTCCAAGTCCTGTACTGCCATTCTAGAGACTGGACTGAGGAGACGGCTCAGTGGGGGAAAATGCCTGCTGTACAAGCCTGAGGACCTGAGTTCAGATCCCCATAACACACAGAGCCGTAACCCCAGCTCTTGGGAAGGTGGAAGTCAGAGGAACATTGAAGCTTGATAGTCAGCCAGCCTAGCCAATCGGTGAACTCCATGTTCTGTAAGAGAACCTGCTCAAAAAATACTGCAGAGAGCTGGGCCTTGGTGGTGCACGCTTTTAAACCCAGCATTGGGGAGGCAGAAGCAGGCAGACCTCTGTGAGTTTAAGGCCAGCCTGGTCTACAAGAACTAGTCCCAGGACGTGCTCCAAAGCTACAGAGAAACCCTGTCTCGGAAAACAAAAACAAAAACAAAAAAATACAATGGAGAGTGATACACGAAGATACTCAGCTTCGAACTCTAGCTCACGGGCACCTTGAGAGTTAGAGAAAGGAAGATTGAAAGGGGTTTAGGGCTACCCTAGGCTACATGGCAATTATTGTCTCAAAATCACACCTCTCACCCACACACAGAGGAGGGAGAGAGAGGCATGGGGGTCGGCTCGTTTTATCCACAGTGTGATTCTGAGAGCCAGTTGCCAATTTTGGCTTACGTGTTATGGGAAACCAAAGATCCCAATCGGTAAAGCCCATGACCCACACTCGAACAACTCGTGTTGCTAAGAAGTTTCTAGCTCAGGTCACATTGCTCCTCTCCCTCCTGGAAATAATTTGTCTCTTAATTTGAGGCTGTGAATCTTTCCTTCCTTTCTCATTCTCTTTGTTTCCTACACAAGGTCTTACTGTATAGCCCTAGTTGGCCTGAAATATGCCACTGAGATACCAGGCTGGGGGCCTGTGAGCTGGTTCAGCAGGTAAAAGTGCTTGCCACTAGGCCTGAGGACCTGACTTCTGTTCTCCAGATCCATCTGGTAGGACAGAACCAGTTCCCACAGGTTCTCCTCTGATTGACACAGAGACATAGATATACGAGTGTGCATATGTGTGTATACACGTGCACACACACACACACAGCACACTGCAGCCCATATGTGCCATCCCACTAAAAAAAAAAATAAAAGTCTGTAATAAAAAGAAATACAAACAATACTGCTCTCAAACTAGTTTTGGTACTGCCTCTTCCTGATCGCTAGGAATATAGGTAGGTTCCTCTGTGCCCTCCCTTGTGTGTGTGTGTGCGTGTGTGTTGCTATGTAGCCTATAGTGGCCTTAAACCTCTTCAAATCTCCTTGTCTCTACCTCTCAAGTACAGGAACTACAGGCATGAGTCAGCTCACCCATTTTGTATTAGTCATTTCTTTTTAGAAAGATTTACTTATTTATATATTTTACACATATTAGTGTTCTATTTGCACATATGCCGGCAGGACAGAAGAGGACATCAGA